CTGGATGCATATGTGGTGGAACTGCCCAAAAGTAAAGGAATTTTGGCGATCTATTCACAAAGTAATATGTGAAATAATAGAAATATCTTTTGAATGTACACCACAGTTGTATTTGTTAAATATGATTCAGGAGAAGGAAATACGAATGAGGAAAGATGTTTGGAAGCTTTTGCTCTATATGCTTACGGTAGCTAGGATGCTTTTGGCTAGTAAGTGGAAGGTGGACGAAATACCTACAGTCGACAGCTGGTTGGATAGGTTATTAAAAATAGCGGAACTTGATAAAAAGGATGAGAAAGCGGAAGGCAAACCTAAGAGTGTGATCAACTTAATATGGAAACCACTTCATACCTTCTGTAGGAAAAAATGGGAAATTTGATTGTGTTAATATCATTTGGTTCTTCTATGAAATAACAATTTTATAAAGGAAAGTATTGTGGGAAGTATGATGAAATTGGGGTATAAGAATATATAACGTAATATAGAAGTGGATAAAATTGTAGTGGTATGGCAAACGTCATGTAGACTAAGATATGTCTTTAACTCAATTCTTAATTTAACTTAATGAATTCAATTGACTGCAGTACAATACAGCTATATAATAATGTCCTAAAAAAGAGGAAGGACGGAATAGGAGATTATGATTTGGATAATTTGTGTGCGGGAGATATAGTGACAAAACATATAGTGATAAGAATAATTGATCTTTATTTTGTATTCTATGATAAACGGGCTTGTAAATTTTTATATGTTTACACTTTAAATTGTCAATAAAAAAAATCACAAGCAAGTTAGTTTTCAAAAAGAAGACTGTTTTCTGTTAATTTCTCTCTAAAAATTCTAATAATTGCCTTACTGCTTTTAAAAAGGTTTTAACATCTGTACAAAAGTGGCATCTTCTGAATCTTATCTGTTCCCTACATGGTATAGAATCAGCCCTCTGTATTCATGGATTCTTTATCCATGGATTCAAGCATCCACAGCTGAAAATGTTTTTAAAACATATTAAATCTCAAATGGCCCTTTCAGACTACACAGTTTGATTCCACTTGAGGTGCTGTGGCTGCAATCTATGCAATCCTGGAATTTGCACTGCGATGCAGCATTACAGTTATTTGGCAGAGAGTTTGAAGTACCCCTTTCTAAAATATATAGGATGGAATGATGGGAGTTAAAGTGGAATTGTAGTGCTATAATTGTGTTGGGTAAAAGGGACAATGAACAGATGTCCTTAGAGATGTTCTTCCATTGACAGCCATGGTTTTGTTTTGTTTTTTCACATACTGTCTAAGTAATTTATGGAATGGGCTGCCAGAAATTATGACAGCTACTAACTTAGATGGCTTTAAAAGAAGAATGAACAAATTCTTGGAAAAGTATAGATTAACCAAAGGCTATGACTCATTATGGTTGTCAGCAAGCTGTGAGTTTAAAGAAGGATGCCACTATGTACAAGTTGATGGAGAGATAATAATCGGAGAAAGTATCACTATTATTCCTGATATGTGAACTACCCAGCAGCATCTGGTTAGCTCCTCTGGGAAGGAAGAGACTAAACATAATGGATCTTTGGTCTTATCCAAAAGTGATCTCTCTATGTTCTTATCAGCCCATGATATTAGGTGGTTTCCTCTACTGAAAGTGACTCCACAGATGACACATGTAAACCTGTGAAGAGAGCATAGTTGCATTGCAACTAAGAAAATAAGGAGACTCTTGCTTGTTCTGATCAGAGGCCTTTCTAGTTATCATAATGTTTGCTGGATTGGTCAACTAAATTCCCTTGAGAAACCCATAAGCAAATATGGAGGAAATCTTTTTCTTTAACAGTTTTTCTCCAGCATTTAGTATTCAGAGGAATGCTCCACAATCCCCTCAGAGTATGATCTCTGGCTTTACCGTTCATCCACACTTTCTAATCTTAATACTTGACATTTAGCTTAGTTGGTCACTTTATATAGCCACCATTTGTCCTGAAGCAGGACAAAAATATAGGTTTTTAAGAAACAATACTATTTGATCTGTAGCACAGAAAAGACTCCTAAATGAGACTAGTTATACTTTAAGATCAGTGTGAAAATACAGAACCAATATTACCACATGGAGCAGCTGCATCTTGCTGAACTGTACAAGCATGATTGGAATAAGATTGTAAAAATACTTCAAGTCAAACAACACTAGTTTCATATTCGAAGCAAACTACAGCTGCTTCCACACTGCAAAAATAATCAAATTTGACACCACTTTAACTACCATGGCTCAATGTTATAGAATTCTGGAAATTGTAGTTTTGTGAGACAATTAGCCTTCTCTGTCAGAAAGCTCTGGTGCAAAATCAAACTACAAATCCCCAAATTCCATAACATTGAGCCATGGCAGTTAAAGTGGTGCTAAACTAGATTATTTCTTCAGGGTGCGTCCGACATCTTTTTATCTCCTGGTAAAACACTTACCAAATTAACTTTAAAAAATTAATTTAAAGTGTGTGCTCATCACATTTTTTGTAGCTGTTTAGCACTGTATATAACCTGATGTTCCTATCTGCATTCTTTTATTCCATCATATTTTCTCCTTCCGTATATGACTGCATGGGAATATATTTATTTGAAACATTAACATCAGTTTTTTATATAGCACGTCACCTACAAAGAAATGAAATGATGAGAAATATTATCAACATTTTCTCTTCAAAACTGTCCTTAGTAAACTTAAAGGAACTAAAAGTTGTGTTATGCATCAGCTGTGTCCTCAGTGGAAGGAGTGTTCCTCCACATTAAAAAGGTATTGGCTTCACCTTTAAAAAAAATTGACAGAGTTTGTTTTGATTTGTAGTTGTTAACTTATCTCTACGTAGTCACCATCCAGATTTACAAATTTTCCCCAGCATTTTTTGACCCTCCAAATACCGTTATTGTAGAAGTCTGCAGATT